GGAAGCAGGCTACGAAAGTCGAAGAACTGCAAGAGCCGATTTCTATCAGAAAGTCAAGGTAAGTTTGTCGAAATTTGTGACGGGGACAATATCATTGCTCATCACTCGTCCAGATACTCTACGACTTCGACTGGGAAGTAGACCGAGTCGCCCTTATCCAAGCACTATTGCTACTAAACTACTGGTATGTGTCGGAGAACGACCAAAAAGATCCCTGGCATTGGCTCGGTGTCTGCGTTTCTCTGGCCACCAGTATTGGGCTGAATCAACCCTTTACACATGCACAGAAGGACCCCAAGGTTAGAGCTCTGTGGAGACGAATATGGTGGAGTTGCGTCCACCGCGACAGGATCATCTCTATCAGCATGCGAAGACCAGTGCGAATCAAAGACGAGGATATCAGGCTCTCACCTCTGAGAATGGACGACTTCGAGACTGGGCCTTTCCCTTCGGCGATCTTGTGCCTCCAAGGCAATTCTTTTCTCACGGATAAACATGTGAGATCCATGTTGGCTGAGATGTATATCGCAAAGCTCAAACTGCTGCTCTTCATTGGACAGATCCTCAAACACTTCTACCACTTGCGCGGCTTTGGTGGCTCTACATCCGAGTCGACCTTACTCTATACTCCCAAAAAGTCCGAAGTCAAAGGGAAGCAATATCTGCAGTTGCAACAGGACCTTGATCAGTGGTACAGGGAGCTTCCACCCAGTTGCTGGCTGCTAACGAGCAGCAGCAGCGATGACCTCGATCCGTCTACTGCAGATTCTCTTTTGATGCACCGGTCAGTATTGAGGATGCTCTACTTGATGGCATCTGAAGCTCTCAATCGCCCTCAATCACTGTCCAAGCCCCCCAGTGGCCGGGAGAACAGCCCAACGTCAAAGGTCAAGGAGGCAGCTGAGAAGATTGCGGAAATGACAGAATCTCTACAAGAGCGAGACCTGGTCAGGTTTCTCCCACCACTGTCGGTGAGTTTTATGCTGCTCGCACTCGCCTCCTTCTTGGTGGATATGAAAGCGAAGGGCCAAAGCATCGGAGCGCTTCCAGAGCACCAATTTCATATTTGTATGCGAGCATTACTGCAACTGCGAGAAATCTGGCCCATTGCCGATGCTGCTTGCTTTCTGATCGGACAGATGATCAACAAGCATCAAGGCGGCAAGATTTCGACGCCGGCTGTGCAACCAGCGCCGTTGAATATAAGTCTGTCATCGTCGAACGATTGGCGACCTCCTGAGATCCCCCCCAGACATACACCTCCTGTCCCTCGGTTTGACCAAGTATCGGCAGAAGTGCCTTTCACTTCTACCGCTTTAAGCGAGCCACCGACGTTCACAACACATCAACCAGAAGTGGTTCCCACAACGACACAGGGGTTCGTTATGCCTTACAATTGGACAGAGGAGGACTTCGAAGGCGACTACGGGGTCATGATGGAGGCTCACGCACTGAACATGGACCTCGCCATGCCCGATGCGGAGGTGTTGGGCTTCTTTGGCAACGGTATGTTTGACTTTGAACCATCACCACACCATGACCAAGCTGGACAAGATGGTCTCCCATATGCTCCGCAGCAATCTTCCGTCGTCTGTGATCCATGGAATTCCACGGTTGTCAATCAATACATGGATCCTTATCGCACGCCGAGGTCGATCTAGTGGTACGCGACCGTCGTCATGTGTAACTGTTACACTTTGCGAACAAAAGCCCCGAGTACAGTTGCCCTCGATCTTCAACACGGCCTTTGTTCAGTCGACTGAAGCTCTAGCTGGAGGCCAAAGCCGACGAATATCCATCTGCTCCTTGTCGGGGAATCCGGCCGGCTCGTCGTCTCACGTGGTGCTTTTACAACAAGGTAACAAATGCCGATCGTGGGACTCTCACTGCACCTGCGCATGGGTCTTCGTCGTGAATCCAAGCCTTTGCGATTGGCTTGGTAAGTTGACAATACCGGGAAAAGAGCTCAAGAGTATCAATACCGTGCCGAGAGGAATGTGCTCACGAATTCGAGCGTTGTCGCGCAGAACAGGTTTGCGACTGAAGGGCTGCCTATCCTTGTTCATGCATGCATATCATGGAAACCAATGCTCATGGAGGATCGTGTGTGTGTATGTGCATAGATACGTAGACACATGGAGCTGTCTATGCCCGGTAGAGTGTAGGGGATAGGGTCTAGGTAGAGGTAATGGACAGACCAGACAGGGGGGGAGGGGGGGGAGATTCGAATTGTCTGTCTGTAAATCGACATTTCTGTCTTTTACAATGTCCGTCCATGCACATACCGATTGAGTTTTTGGGCATAGTATATCTGATATAATATGACATGATATGATACGATGGGACGAGGCAAAAAGTCTCGTTCGATTGATTGAATGTTTATTTTATTTCACTCGTTCTCGGTCTCGTTGGGTTTGTCGTCTCTTCATCGCCAATGTATTGTAGGTAGGTAACCCCTCGGGTCGAGAAGATACCTGTAGCTTCCCCCTTCTACTTCAATATCCAGTAGGGTAAAAGACCACAAAGGGGAGACGGGGGCGAGTATTGTTTTTCCTTCATCACTCGTTCCCACTCCCCCTCCGCCGCTCTCATCTCTCTAACCGACCACCAGCAGGGTGTTTTCGACTCGTTACACGACACAAAACCAGCACCCACTTCTCCCATACTCTTCCACCTCACCCATCATCTCGGACCCAACTTCTCGAGAATCCGCGGTCCTTGTTCCTCCCACTCCTGCTTGCTGATCCACATGTTCTCCTTGTCCGCCATGATGTTGGCCAAGACGGCGCCGCCCAAGAACACCATGTGTCTCCGCCTGGGGGGGTCCTCGATGCGGACCTTGAATTTGTTCAGTCGTTCGGGATTCCCGCCCAGCACGCGCGTGAGCCAGAGTTGCTTGAGTTCCTTCTCCAGGCGCGAGGGGAGACCGGGATACATGCTACTGCCGCCGGAGAGGACGATGGCTTTGTACAGTGAAGAGCGGACGTCCACGTCGGCCGACTGTATGGTATTGAACAGGAATTCGGCGATGCCGGGTTGTTCAACATCGACCAGGTGCGGCTGGAACAGACACTCGGGGGCTTCGAACCGTTCGCTTCCTACGCGGATCACGCGGCCGTCCGGTAGTGTGTACGATTCCACGAGCACGGTAGTTTCTTCCGACAGACGTTGGTCGAGAGTCAGGTCGTACGAGACGTAGCATAGCTTCTCCTTGATCTGGCGTACAGTCTCAAAGTCGGCCGTGCGGTTGAGCGCGTAGCCTCGTCGCAGGAGGAGGGCAATCAGATTCCGAGTTACGTCTCGGCCAGCAACGTCGAGACGGCGGGTGAGATGGTTGAGGACCGTGGATTCGTAGACGGGTACGATGTGCGTCACGCCGTCTCCGGAATCGACGACGACCCCCGATGAGAGGCCCTGTGCGTACAGCGCCAGTACCGCCTGGATGGCGACATACACCCCGCCAAAGCCGTACCGGTCGAACATGACCTCGCACATCTGCTCTCTGTTCTTGAGCGGGTTCATCGGAGGTTCGGTCAACAGGATCTTGCGACCCCGGGGGTCGACCTTTAATTTCTCAAAAAAGGTAAAGTCCCAGAGATGTTGCATGTCGTCCCATTTCTTGACGATGCCGTTCTCCATCTGTAGCTCAGGACGTTCTGGGTCAGCCATTTCTTCTCGGCCGTTACTTGTTGCTCGGGGGTCTTGGGGATGGTCCTCACGGGATAGCTGATTTGTAACATTGATCTTGCAGCGGCAGCCTCATCTCCACACATGATGTCCTTGACCACGATATCTCCTGCCCGCTCTTCCGACCGCAGAATCGGCCGCCCGACTATGGAGGGGAACTGGTGTTCGGGGAAATTCTGTCGAGGTTTTGCACTGGTTAGGTCTCGAAACTTCTCACAAAAGCAGCGGACGAGGGCCACGGGCGGCACGTACTTGAGCCGCATAGCCGACCTTGAGGAAACCGGTACCCCCATCGAGGACTGTGGTGCCTGGGTAAGCAGGAGATTCAATGCAATGTGGGCGGGCGAGGGGTCTTACCGATGGGTGGTTCAGCCATTGTGAAAGAGAGCGGAGGTCCAGAAGAGGTCGACCCCTCGCAGCTTGTAGGATAGCAAGGAAGAGGGGAGGGAGAGGCGGGTGAAGCAGAAGTATAGAGGTCTGTATGTCACACTTTCTATTGACACAAGACGACAAGCGGCCGGATGTATCTAGGCGCAGTCCAAGTGAAGCAGCGGCATTGTGCTCGCAGTCTACCGTAATGCCAAGAATATCCTTCGTCAGCGAACTGCCCCTCCACCAGCATCTCTCCCAGAACAAGGCTTGGCAAGGCTTAAGGACAGCCTTGTCACTTGGCCATCGCATTGATAAGGTCCTCCTCTTGTGTAGCTTCAAGCTCAGGTGAAAATCGGGTAGCTCTGTCCAACACAGGAACACATGCTCATCCAGCAGAGCTAGATGTCTCGGTCCTATCGAGGCAGAAGCTCTGTCGACATGGGCTCTGCACGATGTGGACAGTGCTGTTCTTCTGACAGATTTCATTTTTACATCCCATGCTCGATCAACCATACTCGATGTCAGTTACCTACACAGTTAATCACACACAATATTTCGCCGTGTAGCGTGTAACGGGACAAGATCTGTCAAGCTTAGCCTCACCCGTGTGTGAGTGACGTAGACAGACATCCCTCGACAATCTCCGCAATGGCTGCTTCGAGTTCCCCAAAGCCGACTGTGGGGTTAGCCGACAGGGACAAAGTAGAGTTTCGGACAATTGAGCCCGACTGTCTATATATGTGGCTGGTATCTTCTCGAAGACGGGGCGGAATGTCCGTCGCTGTTTTTCGATCTGCGTCTCATTGTTCAACAAGCATAGATTCGGGCTGCTCTCGGTGAACTGGTGTGTGTGTCTAACATACCGTGGGACAGCCAGCACGTCTCTTCTTTGCTTCTCTCTCTTTCTGTCAAAGAAGTAAAAGGATAATATTTGTACAAACATGGCCTCCCCACCTCAAGCCAACGGTGGTGGTGGGGGCGGTGGAAAGCTCCACGTCCTCTTCATCCGCCACGGCGAGACGCAAGACAACATCGACCGGATCCTCCAGGGGTTGCGGGACACGAGCCTGACGGAGAAAGGGCACCGGGAGGCGCAGGTTCTGGCGGACAAGCTGCGCGGGCAACATATCGACGCCGTCTACCACTCGCCCCTCCTCCGCATCGTGCAGACGATCAAGCCCCTCCTCGCCGACCGCGCGGACGTCCAGGTCCACGCGGACCGGGACCTGACGGGCCAGGCGCTCGGCGAGCTCGAGGGCGGGTCGTACGACTCGATCGACATGGGAAACCCGCGCAGCGCCGACGGCGGGCCCGGCGTCGAGCTCTTTGACGATTTCGTGCGGCGGCTGAAGCGCGTCTTTGCGCGCATCGTCGGCGCCGAGGCACCGTTGGTCGGCGAGCGGGATCGCACCGTGGTGATCGCGACGCACGGCGTGGGCATCACGTCCCTCTTCAAGACGCTCGAGTCCAGCCCCTCGTGCGACGGGTTCAACCCCAAGTTTGCGACGCGAGGCCCCGACGCATTCGAGGTCCGATGGACCGACAGCGACGATGTCGCCAGACTCGTCGTCCCGCAGCCGGCGCAGCTCCCGATCAAGGATGGAGTGTTGGACTGGTCCTCCCTTTCTGGCCAGCCGTTCCTGATAGAGGTCTGGGGCAAGAAAGAAAAGGCATTGTGAGCACGCACCTCATACAGAGATTGCCCGGCTCGGGTCACGAAGACAGCACCAGACGGTGGTTAGAGGAGCGCACGTGAGGACGATATTCTGGGTTGCAATACACCCCGAACTAGCTGGGAGACTTTCGGCAAGATAGAACAAGACAGCACCGAATCAGTAACAATCAGATCCATTGCACGTTATCATCATTCATCTCTCGTAGCCTCGTTCCAATCATAACCTAACATTTCGTGTCCCTCTTGATAAGGATTCGAAAATGCCAATTGCGTGAGTCATCCCATTGTATCGCTAGAAGAACTGCGAATCACGAGTCCCGTCGAGTCTTCCTCCACTCACATCTTCTCAAAAATCCTTCCAGATTCGTGATATGCCATTTCGAAGCAGAAAAATACTGCAATATATGCTGCGCCAATGCCACGCTAAATCCACAAACACATGCATCATCGTTCCGCGAGACACTGCTCTCTGGTTCAGACCAACTCTTCTCAAAGACCCATAAGATCCTCAGCCAGGTCTGCACCAAAGTTTCCAACTGTCGTGCGAGTCCTCTCTGGCTTCTTCTTATACTTCTTCATGGGATCTGGAGATGGGCTTCTAGACTTCTTCCATGCGCAAAATGATGCGTCAGCATGTCGTGAATGCAACAAGAACCTCTTGCACTTCCAAGCACGGGACGAAAAAAGACGCCGGAATGACGGAATCATTAGTCGCCGGCACGACTGCGACTCACCGCATGCCGAGACTTGGATCTCCTGCTATCGTAATCATCGAAATCTCCATCTTCCTCGTACATTTTTTTGGCGCGATTCGAGTCTCTGATTGCACGGTCATCGTCGTAATGGCCTCCTGCCCCAGCACCAGAACGGCTTCCACGGTAACTTTCACTGCTCTGTGGCTCAGGCCCGTCGTAGTACCAGTTGCCGTCTCTTCCCTTGTAGTAACCTCCCCGTTCCCTTGCCCGCCGGCGTCGCTCGCGCTCCATACGCTTTTTGTGGTGTTCTTCTTTCTGTGAGAGCAGCTCCTTGTGTTGGTTATGCTCCTCGGACAGTTCATTCCACTCGCTCACCGCACCTTTGAGACCCAATGCCGCAATCCCAATGGCCGCAGCATCCTGCCACCGGGAAGCACGTTGTTGTTTGTGGGCTTCTTCTGGAGACATTTTACCTTCGCGAACTTTCTCCATTCGTTTGTCGTGCGACTCGATGGAGGAATAGACCTTGGAGGCGGCGTGTATCGTGGCCACACTTGCGAGGGCGGCGGTGAGCCATTTTTTGCGCTGCATCTTGCGAATGTTCTTCTCTTCTTCGGTGGAAGAGAGCAGCGACGAGGAAGAGGAAGAGGAGCTCCGACGGCGACGGGAGCGACCAGAAGAGGATTTTGCCCGTACACGAGACCGTGGAGGCACAGAACCTTCCGATTCATAGTAATCGTCTCGATGGCGATCCCGGTCGCGGTGGGCAATCAGCGCACCTGCACCAGCACCTGCGGCGGCGCCTGCACCAATATCCCGACCGGTGTGCATAGAGGTGGCTCTTTGTCGTTGCTCAGACCGACCAGGCCGTCGGGGTAGAATGTCCCCTTTGTGCCTCACCACTTCCACAATCTCTTCGTCCGAGGCAACATCGCGCCGACGGCGTAGGACGAGGCCCTTCTCTTCCATGGTTCTTCTGTCGTAGAGATCAGGATCAGGTTGAGGGACGTCGCCACGCATCTTCTTGTATCTGCGGTGAAGGGGATCGATGACCTTATCCTGGTGTGCGAGGGCGAGGTTCACGCCGTTCAGGCCTAACCCTAGAGCCTGATCCATTTTGAAAGGGGTCGAGCGTTACATGCGGCTGTCGTCGTGAGCAGGAAATGCAGCTGGCGGGAGCGTCTCGAGATCGGAATTGGTTCGCTGGGTGTCAGTCAGGGCGCCTTGCAGCACCCACCGCCCGACTTGTATAGCGCTGCAGAGGGAAGTTCGCCTGCACAGAGGACGCCGGCTGGCCTATTGGCTGAGCGACACACAATTTCTTTTTTGTTTAATTGGATGCAGGTCCGGGACGGTTTAATTAAGAGCAAACATATTGAAGAGCCACGGTGAAAGGGCCGGTCTATCGTAGGATGTGAGGCTCGCACAGAGAATCTGCGGTTGCGGTTAAAAGTCCGAACGCACAAAGGGGCAGCATAAGCAAATAAGTAGAAACCGAGACGTGAGTTTATAGAGAAGACGTCATTGTGTGGCAGCTACACCGACTTTAACAAAAGTCCATTGGGCTGTTCAAAGGGTTTGCTCGACTTCAACTGGATACAAGAATGAAAAGAAGACAGAATAGGGAATATACATTGGTCATGGGGTTTCGTATTTAACGGCGGACTGGACGGGTCGGTGGATGGGGCCGCTTCGACGGACACCGCAGAATAATGCTTATCTGACCAGGAGCGCCATGTTAGGGGATGCCATTTCTACGAAGGTCGTGGAAGTCCCACTGTGGGAGAGGTTGGTGATCGAGGATGGGCGATCCCGGATCAACCCAGAGATGCCAAAGACCCGGAGGGAGAAGGAAAATGTGCAAGCTTTGGTTTTAAGATCGCTTCACATCTCACGATCGACACATTCAACGTGGACCAAGAGGCGAAGACTGATGATACCTGAATGGGGCAGGAACGAGAAAATGCCGAGAGGAGGGCGAGCCACTCAGCATGACGGCTGCGACACGACGAAGCGAAAAGAGAACAGGGAAGAAGGTGAGCGAGGCGAGACCGAGGGGAGAGGAAGAGGCTGGCATTGAGTCTTGCACATACCTAATTGTACGAGGCACTTAGTAGGGCGGGGAGACTTTTCCTAGGTGCATGACGTCGGTCGGGCTCTTTACCTTCCTGGGTGATGCCCAATGGCCTAGACCCTCTACCAGATCCTCCCCTGTGGATGGATGGGTATTAGGTGCCACCACTGCCTAGCAGGTGCCTGTTTATCCCCCAGGCATAACAACCTTCCTTCTGTTGTGCTTGGTAGGTGGAAGGAACGCACTGTTGGTTACTTCCAGCCACTTCCAGTTAGTCCCTCAACCACATCAACGACGTCATCATCAACTTTCCAGCCACCACAACCTCTTGCACCGACTACAGAACGGCCAGTGCATATGATGGTTGAACGGCGCCACGAATGTTGAAATGGCATTTCACAAGGGCAGAGATAATGTCCGCTCAAAGGTAACAAGACCCCTCAGAGAATCCCTTCTCGGGCCTGTCAATTGTCAGTTTTGAGCAATCAATTTTAGCACATCTTCGGCACAACAACAGTCAATGAGAGCGGCTGAGTTGCAATTTGACATCCGTGCTGTATAAAGAGGTCATTTTTCTCCCACAAAAGAAAAAGCCTGTATCGGATTTCGTGAGCTCAGCATGCTTTTAGACATGACAATTTTCTCAAACTATACTTCAGAATGCCACCAATACCTGGGCAAATACTCGGTACATATGTGCCATCCGCACCCTCTGCCGAGCACCACATACCACAACACAACGAAACCAATCATAGTTCGCCATGACTAGTGGTGTCGCTCGAAGTGCTATTTTGTGTTCCGTTGAGGACTGATCCGCTCCACATCTGTCCCCAGAACTTCTTCAGGTCCTCAAAGACCACGTCGAATCGGGCACCCATGAGCCATGCGGCCCCAAGCTAGAATCACGTTAGCGCTGATTGGTACTTTCAAAATGAGGGCTTTCTCACTATAGTAACAGTAATGATGAGGAGCATCACACCCACCGCGCCAAATAGCGCAAGTGTCTCGGATGAATCCCTCGATGCTCCTTTCTTGGAAAGGGCCGCCCGAGCCTCGTCTGCCTTGTTCTTGGCCAAGACGTCCTCAACCTTTTGGGAGGGGAATATCGACTCGATAAACTGCTCCACCTTGCCACAAGCAATACTGATCTTCAAAAAGTTGGGGTCCTGCGGCCGATTCTTCTTGCGGATGGAGTGAATATGTCGGCGGAACACCTCGCACGCCACCTGGAGGTTTTGGGTCGATTCGAGCATGATCTGGCAGGCCTCGCCCTTTGTGATTTTAATGTTGCGGAGGAACATGGAGTAATTCCTGAAGCAGAGATCCAGCGTCGCAATCGCCATAGTCTGCGGAATTGCGCAAAAGTTGAATACGCTCTGCTCCCGAAGTCCAGCCATATAGAAAATACATTCGTCGGCATGTTCGAGTGCATTCAATACCATTTCCGCGCTGCAATTCAGTGCCTGCTCCTTGTACTCGGGCTTGAAGAGATCTTCAAACTGGTCAACGTGCTTGGACCAGATCTCCTTTGGCCAGAATATTCGATTGTCGTCGAAATCCTCTCGCACGTCTCGGATGATGTTGACCTTTTGCAGGAAAAGCCCCATCGATCTGTGAAGGTTGGATCTCTGGAGCAGAGCCGGGTTTCCGAATTTGCTCTCAACAAACATTCTCGTGCATCCCTCTCCGACCAATCCCGCCACATAGTAACAATACTGGTCGTACTCTTCGCAGGTCATGACGGCAAAATCGTTGTTTTCAGATTTTAGGCAGTAGTCGGCCATGCCATTGCCCATTCTCTTCGCGATATCCTTGATGATAACTTGGTAGGCAGGTTTCATCTTCTTGAACTCTTCGATGACGCAACCATAATTGAGCATCAGCTCTCGATCCTTCTCCTCTGGCCTGTTCTCAGTGTAAGTCCATCCGTCAATCTCAAGAACCTCGTCGAAGCTGCGCAGAATTGGTTCCTTCTTCTTGACGGGGATCGAGGTGTCATCTTCAATGGTATCCAGACCGCGCAGAACCAGGTAGAACACAGTAACGGGCAGAAGAAGCTCTGGGTGTAACTCTTTGATGACGGCGCTGAAGGAGCGACTGGTCATGTCCAGGTACTTGAAGCAGTTTTTGACGGATTCGGTCTCTTTGGATTCATCTCGTTCGTGGACCGGGTTGTGCCAGACTTTCCTGAGCAAGTGTCAGCCACCACATGCGACGTGAGCTCACCCATCAAAC